CCAGATGGTTCCAGTGGCTTCGCGACTGTAACCATCTGGCCTTGGGTTACCCTCCATGTAATACACCTACCTATCTACCTGCTTCCACTAACTACTTCGATACCTTCCTGACGGCTTTAGGCCCCTCCCAGCCGAAATCCCTTCAAAAATTACCTAAATACCTTCCCGATGGCTTAAGATACTTTATGGCTGAAATCCCTTCAAAACTACCTAAATACCTTCCCGATGGCTTAAGATACCCCCATGGCTGAAATCCCCTTCCAAAAACTACCTAAATACCTTCCCGATGGCTTAAGATACCTCCCATGGCTGAAATCCCCTTCAAAATCTACCTAAATACCTTCCCGATGGCTTAAGATACCCCCCATGGCTGAAATCCCCTTCAAAAACTACCTAAATACCTTCCCGATGGCTTAAGATACCCCCCATGGCTGAAATCCCCTTCAAAAACTACCTAAATACCTTCCCGATGAAAGATACCCCCATGGCTGAAATCCCTTCAAAAACCACCTACATACCTTCCCGATGGCTTAAGATACCCCCATGGCTGAAATCCCTTCAAAAACTACCTAAATACCTTCCTGATGGCTTTAGATACCTCCCTAGCGGAAATCCTTCAAAAACTACCTAAATAGCTTCCAGATGGCTTAAGATACCCCCATGGCTGAAATCCCCTTCAAAAACTACCTAAATACCTTCCCGATGGCTTAAGATACCCCTCCATGGCTGAAATCCCCTTCAAAAACTACCTAAATACCTTCCCGATGGCTTAAGATACCCCCCATGGCTGAAATCCCCTTCAAAAACTACCTACATACCTTCCCGATGGCTTAAGATACCCCCCATGGCTGAAATCCCCTTCAAAAACTACCTAAATACCTTCCTGATGGCTTTAGATACCTCCCCTAGCCGAAATCCCCTTAAAAAAACAAAAATAACGACCGACCGGATGGAATCAACTATAATAAAAAGGTAGGGGTGTCTGTCCGTCTGTCATGTCCCGGATTCAACTCGAAGGGGAAAGGAGCTAGAGCTTAGGTCTCTTCGGATTCGGATAGAGCGTGGTCAGAAACCCCAAACTGATAAAAAAATTATGAAAAAGTTTGAATTTAAATTATTAAAATTAACTTTGAAAGTTTTTTCCTTAGTAAAAGGGTGGGGGGCGGAGGTTGGGGTGATTTTGGGCATAGTGAGCCAGGTGGCGCGCGTTTCGTGGATGAAAATTTTCACGGGGGATTTCATTTCTTTTTTTTTCTCTCATTCCATCCGGTCGGTCGTTATTTTCGTTTTTTAAAAGGATTTCGGCTAGAGGAAGTATCTTAAGCCATCGGGAAGGTATTTAGGTAGTTTTTGAAGGGGATTTCGGCTAGGGGAGGTATCTTAAGCCATCGGGAAGGTATTTAGGTAGTTTTTTAAAAGGATTTCGGCTAGAGGAAGTATCTTAAGCCATCGGGAAGGTATGTAGGAAGTTTTTGAAGGGGATGTCAGCCATGGGGGGTATCTGAAGCCATCCGGGAGGTATCGAAGTAGTTTTTGAAGGGGATTTCGGCTATGGGGGGTACCTAAAGCCATCCGGGAGGTATCGAAGTAGTTTTTGAAGGGGTTCGGCTATGGGAGGTATCTAAAGCCATCCGGGAGGTATCGAAGTAGTTTTTGAAGGGGATTTCGGCTATGGGGGGTACCTAAAGCCATCCGGGAGGTATCGAAGTAGTTTTTGAAGGGGATTTCGGCTATGGGGGGTACTAAAGCCATCCGGGAGGTATCGAAGTAGTTTTTGAAGGGGATTTCGTCTATGGGGGGTACCTAAAGCCATCCGGGAGGTATCGAAGTAGTTTTTGAAGGGGATTTCGGCTATGGGGGGTATCTAAAGCCATCCGGGAGGTATCGAAGTAGTTTTTGAAGGGGAGTTCGGCTATGGGAAAGCCTCGATAGCCATCAGGAAGTTATTAAAGTAGTTTAGGTATCTAAGTTTTTGCAGGGGTTTGGCTAGAGAAGGTATCTGAAGCGGTCAGCGTGGGGATTGACGAAGATAGAGATGTAATGTGGTGGTGTAGAACATGGAGAGTAGCCCAAAGGCCAGTCGATTACAGTCGCGAAGCGGCTGTAATCGGCTGGTGATAGAAAAAAAGAAATGAAATCCCCCGTGAAAATTTTCATCCACGAAACGCGCGCGACCTGGCTCACTATGTCCAAAATCACCCCAACCTCCGTCCCCCACCCCTTTTACTAAGGAAAAAACTTTCAATGTTAATTTTAATAAATTAAACTAAAAGTTTTTCATAATTTTTTTATCAGTTTGGGGGTTTCTGACGGCGCTCTATCCGAATCCGAAGAGAGCTAAGCTCTAGCTCCTTTCCCCTTCGAGTTGAATTCGGCTTCACACAGACGGACAGACGGACGCGTCAAGAAAATTATTATAGTTGATTAAAATTTTTGAGAATTTTTACATGCAAATAACCATCGGTCGAAGCAATCAGACCACTTGCCAAGAGTCGTACATCACGGACGGTTCCGGAATGTCCCTAAAGTGTGATTATAGGTGAAACTAAAAATTTTTAACTTACCTTGTAAGTCCACTGGCATTGGGATGTCTCTTGGTCATGTCTGATCGACCATAGCTTGACCGTCTTGTCACTTGACGTTGTCACAAAGCTATTTTCGTTCGACAGCGACTCGATGCGTCGGATTGCTCCGGAATGTCCGGAGAATGTGCACAGGGTGATTTGGTCGAAGCGGGGGACGTGTCTGAGGCAATCTTACAGTTTTTAAGTTGGAATGACCTACTTTGTGCCGCTTCCACAAACGGCAGCTGATACTCTGGCACACCAGAGGTTGCTGAGGGAACCACCGGAGTCGAAGGCTCTATAAAAAATCGAATATATTATTTTGGGTATTGGGAAGGAAATACACTAAAACCCAAAAACCCGGACAGGGGAAAGAAGAGAGGTTCAATAACTAAAAATCACAGCAAAATTTGGTTTCTAGATGTCGTTATAATATCCTAAATTTTTAAGGTATCTAGAACGCTTTTAATGACATTTCTTGAAGGATAAGCACTATTAAGCTTCATAAACATACCCGCTCCTCCCAGCGCCAAATAAGACGTCAGGGTGCCGGCCGACGACAACGAAGTACAACCTGTTGCCCGACGACACCCCGGTCATATTGCAATGGTCTGGCGTGCCTGAGATCAGTACGAGTACGTTTCGTCGCAGGAGGGCCACACTTTGCGCAGACACAAATGGGACCAAGAAGGAGGGATCCGAGCAGAAGGAAGATAGCGTTGGCACTCCCCATTCTTCGCAGAACGTCACCACAACGGATTCGACGTACCACAGGGGAATGCGTCGAGAAGCTAAAAAGTAAAGAAAACCTACGTTTTGGGTACTATCACTCTCCATTTCTCTCTTTCTCTCTCTCTCTATATCTCTCTTACCGTCTTGTTTGCATTTGGCTTTGCATGTAGAGCCAATTCCTCGTTAGCCTCGTATAACGTCACGAAAGCGAAAAATATCTGGGCTATAGTTTTTAAACGCAAGTTCTCGATCCACCTCAAATGGCTGCTTCCCATACATCCCGCACATTCTCAGCCCCGATCCGCCTCGAGATTTCGAGCAAAAATGCGAGTATCTATACCCCTATTATTTTTGAGTAAACTCTCATACCTTCGAAGCCAAAGCCCGCTGCCTTGCCGATAAGGTAGCAAAGTTAAAATCACTGGAGCAAACCATGAGTTGTCAGCTTCTCGATGATCTTTCCCATGAAGATGTCCTGCAATTCGTTCACTATAAAGGTTTACTAACTTTTCCAAACCTCCAATAGCTCATCAATTGGTTGTCACCAAATGATCTCATGGCTAGTCTTGTAATACGAAGCACAGAGATGAGACTAGCTTCGAATTGGCTGGCTCCTCGTCGCAATACTTGTTCAGCAATTTCACACACAGAATTGGGACGTATTGGACCTAAATCCGAGTATTACTATAAAAGATTTGGCTATCAACTTACGCTGATGAAAGTAGAGGCTGTATGAAGCGGCGATTTCCAGCCAAGCATAGCTCAACTCCGGACTCCAATTGCGTGGCCGTACAGTGGTTGATTAAAAGCATCCTAAACAATTGTGGCTTTTAAGGTGACAATTAAAAGCACACCTTATGAACTTGATGTTCCTTAATGATCTCAAGATTTGAGTAGCAAGTGGCATGAACACGCAGTAGTTTGAGGATGAAGCGGGCGCAGGACCCACTGGGCCGTAGCGTTTGGCAAGCCCTGGAAATCGAAATTTTTGATTTTGATTTTGGGAGCCATACCATAGTATACTTTCTTTGCAACAATTGATCTATCTTCAATTTTGCTGGCAACAGCTTCAACAAGTGTAGGAACGATCTGGAGGCGTAGTTTGCTTGTTTTCTGATACTTACACCTCGTGCCGGGAATACTTTAGCCCCATAAGCGATAGAAACTTGAAGTAAGAGCGCGCCGATCGAGAAGCTAGATTTTTAGGTTGAAAGTCATAGAGTCACTTTCCTCCAACAGTATTGTCATCGTGCAACAAATTCTTTAGCGGCTGCAGCAGCAAATCGACAGAACTTTTGGAAAGCGACTCGGCAAAACCGCTGGAAAAGCCGAGGATACCTTAGAATCTCCATTTATAGCCTACTTCCCGACACCGCCCTGCTGCTATCGAAGCCTTTTGATTGTTCAAGGGCCTTGCCACAAGCCTTGTCAACCTTTCTTCCCGGTTCTGAGAACCACTGGCCAGTAATACCGGCATCCTCGGAGGCCGTTCAACCTCCCCCTGCAACGCATTGGCTTGGGTTTTTCTAAGCATATTTTCTCCATTTTTTCTCAACCTAACTATCCCTACCTGTCTGTTCTATACAAGCATAACAGCGCACCAAGTGGCATGCGTAAAAAGTGCAGGAGTAAGCTGGAAATTTTGCACGTGCGCGGGTACTGTAAAATTTTGTTTTTCGTGCCTATCTGCGGTTTAACTAACTATTCAGCAAACTGGAAAATCCTTGAAGAACCTGTTCGCTGTTGGGCATTGTGTTCGGATCAAGAGCAAGTTTTTAGAATTTTCGGAAATACGTCATGAAGGTGTCTATAAGCAAAAATTATGTAAATTATTCGATTTTACCTTGGTAGCTTAGATTGATATTTCAGGGCGTGGTTGTAATTCAAACCCGTATACCAATCCGATTCTCCACGTCGGCTGAATTCGGTGGGGAGGGCAATCTTGAAGAAAAGTTTTTATTTTGACGTAGACATTACCTCGATCATGGTGTTTAACAGGCTTC